GCTTTATCTAATATTTATTTTCAACGCTTATTTTTATTATTAATTAATTAAATCATAATAATTAAGCAAATAAGCACATAATTCACATAATATTTACATAATTCCTCTTTATTACTTCAAAATGAGTTACAAAGGTTCACGTAGACTATTACACCATTATTAATGCTTTATCCCAGAAACATGGGCGTTACAGTCGGCCTTGGTGTAACAGACCAAAAAATTCAAGTAAAAATTTTCATTTAAATACTAAAAATGCTCATTTAATAAGTAGAAGCTCAAACCACAATTTGTTTCCAAGATTCCAATACATAAACATATTATTCAAAAAGATCAGAGTGTCCATAACAACTAGTTGGGAAAAATGCTGGAGAGTGCACGTTGTATCATCATGTCGGGCCCTTGCCCTTAGATCCTGAAGTACCTGAAACAACCAACAATCTGTAAGCTAATGCTTAGTGAGTTCCCAATAACATACCCAACCATATAATCGTATAATGTCATGAAAACATACATATAAGGATGCTAGGGACTCCCTTAATGGTCTTCATCCGGAATATCATGGGCTACCCCCATGGCCTTACACCCATGGGTCATGGACTCCTCCCATGGTCTTAACCATTTGCCATGGGCTCCCCCCATGGTCTTTACATAACACATAACACAATAAATAACTCATTCACTACACATACTACTATTAAGTTTCATAATAAATATGGGACAACCTTGGTGCCTTCGACCCATTTCTATGGTGAGGAGACTCACCTCAGTCTGCTGAACACAAAAGTTGCTCGCCTAGCAGTCTGATACCTCACACTGAACAATAATACAAATAACCATAATTTAAGATTATAATTCAACCTAGTCAAAGAGTCCAAAGACCTAGCCTAAGTCCTTTCATGATTTCCCAAAAGTCTTCCTTTACTAATGGGCCCAAGATCCAAGATAAAAACTATTAATGGGCCACATGGCCCAAACAGAATAATCGAACCACTAACCCAAAATGAAACCACGCTCAATACTGAATAAGGCCCAAAGAGCTTACAAGCCCATACGAAACCCAAAATTCAACTGGGGTACGTACGCCCAACGTACCACTCCAATATGCTTAACGTATTGAGCCCTTTGGCTATAGACGCAGCGTATACAATATTGTGCTCAGCGTACAAGCAGATTAAACACCACGACCATTAAGTTCTTAATACTTGGGATTTCAACGTCTAATTTTAGATTTAAGCTCATTAAAATGTCCTAAGGTATAAAGTTGGCAACTTTATCCCCTTGCATGCCACAAGGGACTCCAAAACTTCATTCTTCACATTAAGACTTCATATAAGACCTCAAACTCATGCATGGAATCTAGACAGCCTTCAAGATGGCACCTTTATGCATCTAGCATACTCAAAACGCTCAGATCTAACCATCTTAGTCTCTGGAGTTGCTCAACTCAGAAGACAAAGTCCAAGAACCAAAAAGGGACTCCATGGAAAACCCTAGCTCAAACTAACAAAAGAGATGACAATGTTATGACTTTATACCTCCAGAAGTACCTCAAGATGAACTTGATGCAGGATCTAGAAGCTCAATGCCACCCAAGACTTGATCACCACCTTCTCCTTCTTGAATGCTCTCTAAAATGGACACCAAAACCCTCTTTAAGCTCAAGAATCACACTCACAAGAAAATATGAGGTGTTAAGGGATGAAATGAGGCTATGGGGGCTTATTAGGGTTCGGTACAAATGGTGAAAGGTTGCTTAAATAGGTCACAAGTCTGAAAATTAGGGTTTTAGCTATCTGCCACGTACGCCCTGCATACCAACTCGTACGCTCCACGTACATGGCTCACCTTCGTGATCATCCCACCTTAGTACGCAAAGCATACTCATATGTATACCCAACATACGGAAGGGACCAATTTGCAATAAAATTTCATTTCAAGGGTATAAAGGGTAACTACTTGGATTGGAGTGTTACACTTGGTGCCTTCAACCCATAAGTATAGTGAGGAAAACTCACATTGCAAAATGGATAGAACTGATAGGCATGACTCTGAATCTCAACTCTCTACACAATACCTACATTCACTAAGTAACCAATTCCATCAAAATCCCAAAATACCCAAAATGCCCTCAAAGTCAAACTTGGTCAAACTCAAGTTCAACTAGTCAAACCCACTAAACCAATTGAGTCAATTTAACAAGGGCTAACTCGTGCGAGTTCGTAGGGCGTAACCCAGAAGTACACTTAGCATACGCGAGCCTCTCATTGACCAGTTACGGGGTGGCTGACCGAGTAAGTGGGGCGTACTTCCACCTATATGGACATACCCTCACAAAGTCCAATACTTCATTAAGTGCTTAATGGCTTAAGCACTCAAGCCCATACTTCAGATCCACAGTCCAAATTCACTCTAGAGTCATAAATTTTCCAACTTTATGACTTTACACGTCAAAAAAGTCCTTAACACAAGGTACTAATCCATCAATACCTTCTACAAGATGCATGAGGCAAATCTAGCCATTGGGGCCTCATTTTTATGACTAAGGACCCCTCCTTGGGTCTGAAAGGATGACTCAAAACATCCAAAACATACCATGCTCAAGATGGAACATTTAGGACCAAAAAGAAGCATAAAAACACCTAAAAATGAGATCTAGCAAACAAGCAATCAATGTATGAACTTTATACCTTGAGATAATGGAGAAAATAACAAAACTTCCAGATCCAATCCTTGCTTCAAGCTTCCAAGCTTCTTGATGCAACTTCTTCTTCATTTAACACACCAAAAACACACTCTTGGGCTCAAAACACACTCTAAGGGGCTAGGGTTTTGTAAAAACTTCTCAAAGGATATGGAGGTTGAAAAGGTGGAGAGAAATGAGCCATAAGGATGCTTAAATACCACTCAAACCCTAAAATTAGGGTTTCCTCCTTACATGAGTATGCCCATCCTACATAAGTGTACGCCCAACATACTAGGGCGTACCCTAGTATGCTCAGCATACTCTCATGTACGTTTATTGTACTCCTCCTGTCCAATATTACAATAATGTCATTAGGGCTTCAAAACGCATTCTCTTGGACTTAAGGACCAAAATGACATGTAATAAAATTATAGGGATGAGTTTAGAAGTACCTGAACTTCAGGATGTTACAGTTACCAAGCATTACTGGCGACACCTTTAACGGCGACATTTTCGAGTGTTGTCGTTATTGCTTGTGTCACTGCTAAATGTGTTGCTGGTAATGCTTGTATTTCTTGTAGTGAATGACTATATATATATATATATATATATATATATATATATATATAATATATATATATATATATATATATATATATATATATACATATATATATATATATATATATATATATATATATATATATATATATATATATAACCCATGATGCATTGTATCCTCTGCCTATGAACACAACTACTTCACACCATCAACAGCCTCACCTTCAATAGCCTCTTCTTCACCGTCATTAGCCTCTCCTTCTAGAGCCTTCATCTTCTTCCTTGCCTGTGATATATATACACTATAACCCATGATGCTTTGTATCCTCCACCTATGAACACAACTACTTCACACCATCAACGGCCTCACATTCAATAGCATCTTCTTCACCGTCATCAACCTCTCCTTCTGCAGCTTTCATCTTCTTCCTTGCCTGTGACGGCCTCTCCTTCCCCAACATTTATCTTTATCCTCACCTATATAGTGGCATATCTAAAACCAAAAATAATCGAGGGCCATCATATATAAAAGATAAATATAATGAAATTTAAATGAATTTCTTGGTTTTTGTTGGGTTTTTGCAGCAAGAATAATTGCAAAAAAAAAAAGTTAGATGGGTCGGTTATACAATTTTATAAAATATATCTTCTTTTATTAAAATAATAAATGTTGGCTATTTTTAAATGGGGTCATACACCCCACTTGTGATACACTAACACATTGCTCAGAGTTTCGTTTAAGGAGATAATGAAAAGGAACTGGAAGATTGGGAAAAAAATCATTGCTCCTGGGTTTATTTATCGGAAGGAGGAGGAGAGAAGAAAATGCCGATTTATGATAATCTTCCTTAGAAAGTGTCATCCCAAATTGAAATGAGTCAAAGAGAAAGGAACGGAAGATCATTCCCTTTCTTTCTTTTCTTTTCTTTTCTCTCCTTTAGTGAACTCGAGAGCGGAGCGTAAATCTGCCCCGCACCTATGGCAGCCACCCCTTCACTACTATCAGAACTCTCGCTTTCCTTGTCGCCAATGTCTCTTCTCCCCCACCTCCTTCCGGTTCCCCCACGACGTCCACAATGAGGATAGACAAGACATCAGAACACACAATAAGGACGAAATCTTTGAAATGCACCAATTAATAGTCTCCTACATGGTCTCACCTGTGTCAAGAAATCACGTGTGGTGTCTGAGTAACAACCGGTTAAGTGTTGAATGCCCCTAATTTATATATTATGTTATGGTTGTGTATTTGTGTTTTGATTGTGTAGTTTTGAATACCTATTTCAAAACTTCATATGCTTGGTTCAAGTAACTGAAGGTATGGGCTCATCCTCTTAGTGGACCATGTTTCATGAATTCAGTCAAATGTATATTGGTGTTGTTCAATCGTTCTTTATTTAGTTATTGGTTATAGTAGCTCAGTGTGTATTGCTTACACCTTCCAAGATGGACACCACGGAACACGTTTGTGGCCACCGTGGCATGGTAGAAATATCCAGAATTTTATCGATTATCAAATCAATATTTTGTGTTTGTATACCTTGTTTCTAACAATCATATTGATATTTCAACGTTGATAATTATGGTTGACTATTTCAAAGACATGACTTCCATATTTTGTTAACTGGAAAAGTTTGAAGTGAAAGATTTTAGATGTTGGCTAAAGAATATGCATTCTTCATTAACAACTTTGCCCCTCACCAAAAACAATGGAATATGAAATAATGGAAGAAATCAGGCACAAATCATAGTATGTCGGAGAATGATAACAGTAGAATATAAGAGTTGTCCATTTGCAAATTCATAATAACAAAAACAAAGATCCGCCCACAAAACAAAAACAGAACCTTACATGATTTGATGGAAAAAGTTGAGAAGTAATAACAATAATATAACAATTAAAATATGAAAAAGGGGTGTGAGAATGAGAGAGACAACTAACTCAGAAGAAACAAGAAAGGTTTAGCCACCCCCAGATTTGAGCGTGTTGCTCAACCTGCCATCAAAATTGGAATCCAAATAATATCAGAAACATATTTCTTTTTGTTTTGTTAAGAACAGAAAATAACAAATAAAGTATTTATTTTACCAGTCTAAGCCCTCAAAGAGACCTTCTCCTTTGATTGCAGAGGTTTTAAAAATAGACCACTGACGGTTTTTTATTTTGTGCAACTCTAGGGACTCTGTCACAGCAGCATCATCGAGTGCACCAGGAAGATCCTAAAAAAAAATTAAAAAAATTAAAATTTAGGAAATTAAAAATTATGGATAAATATTTAAAAGATTTGTTCTCAACTCAACCTGTTTGTTAGCAAATATGAGAACAACAGCACCTTTCAACTCTTCCTCCTATGTGAACAAATATATCAGATACCTTAAATTAATGGATATTGTATTATATTATAAAATAAATAAAGTGAAATAGAATACCTCTAAAATGGCATGAAACTCCTCTTTAGCAATTACTAGTCTTTCAGTGTCGCTGGAATCAACCACATATATTATGGCCTGAGTATTTGGAAAATAGCATCTCCAGTATGGCCTAAATAAAAATAAAGATCCACAAAAACATGGTAATAAATATAAAAAGATTCAATTATGAATGTAATAAAATTAATATTTATTTATCAAAGGAAAATTAAGATTACCTGATGCTCGTCTGCCCACCTGTATCATAACCAAAAAAAAACACTAGTATTAGCAGGGAATATTGTATATCTTCAAATCAAATTCAATAATATCCAAATGATAAATGTAAGAAAGTGGCTATAAGTAGTTTAACTTTGAGTTTGTTTAATGATCTAAGAATCAGATGTTATATTGTTCATTGCGTCTCAAGATGAAAAAAGCTCAAATAAGAAAACTTAAGAGAAAGATAGAAAGACAAATCAGGAACAATTAGCAAACATACCGAGATCCCAGACTTGAAACTTTATATTGTTGTATTGAACTGTCTCCACATTAAATCCAATTGCTGCATAGAAGGTGTAATCCATGATGTTAATTGTAATGTAGCTTCAATAATGCAATAATGTAACCTATCCTGAAACTAGGAATTTGAGTTACAGAGGTAATAAGAAAGCTGGAATGAAGAAAGAGAACCAACTTGGAATAGTGGAGACAACTTCACCCATCTGAAGCCGATCTAAACACCAAATCAATCACGAATTGAAGATTAAGATAATATCGAACTTGTAGAAAAGATTAGGGACAATGAAAGAGATGGGATCGTACAAAGTATAGTGGTTTTGCCAGCATTGTCGAGACCGAGAACGAGGATCCGAGCTTCTTTGTTTCCGAAAAGCGAAGAGAACAATCTCGTAAACACTAACCCCATCTATTATACCATGTACCGATATTCCCCAAACCAAAAATCCAGATCAGATCGCTTCGTCTTCAAAGGCAGAATCCCAAATCTTCCGTCCAAAAAACCAAAATATAATTGCAATTTATGTGAGACGAATAAAATTGGTTCCAGCGCATGCAAGTAAAACAAGATTTACGCGTTTAATTTGCACAAAACAAAACCAGGTTATAAGATAAAGATCTTGTGAATTTTGAAAGGCAAAAAGCGTACCTCTGAAGCGGAGAATCTGCCTATAAGAAAATTCCGATGGGTTCGAGAGGATTGATTGCGAAAAACGTGAGATACTGGGAGTAGGATTTGAAGATAGAAGGAGATGAAAAGGTGTTCGTCTCGATCTCTTCGGACGAAAATTTCACCAATTTTTCTAATTTGATTCTTCAGGATCTGTAATCGGGAGATGTGGAGTGAAGAACACGGGAGAAGTTACAAAAGTTTCCCTACACTATCTTGAAAGTTTCATTCTCAGTCCTCTTTATTTCCATTTTACACTTTTAGTCCATAAGAATTGATCTCTTTCTTAAAGGATTTAGAATTTATGTCTTTCTTAAAGGATTTATAAATATGACATCCAGATTTGACAACTTCGAAAAGATCATTTTTATGTAAGTTGTAATGTGCATGTGTATTGTCATGATTTTATTTTATTTTTAAAATAGTTCTAGGATATATATGGGCATTGTTTCCATATTTTGACTAATGTGAACAAATCTTATAATATATTATAGTTTTGTTCCGAGCTAATGTCATGGAATCTATTGCAATATTTTGTTCTGATTGTTTATATGACTTTTTTTTTTTTTTTCAAATAATAATAATAATAATAATCTGTTACTCATTTATGACATTTAACCATTCTTTAATTTAGTTACAGCTATTCGTAAATCGTAGGGTATTTATTGCGATTTTGGTCAGGAAATTAAACAATGTATCGTGGAACAAACAGATAACATCAAGGGCACATTCATAAACCATTAAAACTTTAATCAACTTAATTTTTCACATGATACAGACGCATTGCATATAGAAACCCTAGATTTCTTTTGCCTTATTTTTCATACTTGACGTCTTAAACCTAAAAGGTAAAAACCAACGAATTTCTACTTGAAAATTCTAAAACCTACATTGCAGATTGGAAAATCATCTCCGCAAGTTCCTGCACAAATAATACGAAAAACACAAACCCAATCATTAAAAGAAAATTTTAAACTATTAAACAGTTTGTTTGATTGGATGGAAAGGAATGGAATGGAATGAACCATTCCATTCCTTTTTCTGATTCCGTCATACCAAACACATTACCTGTTTGCCAGAAGGAACTGTAGGTTCTCCCCATTCCATAGCTTTCTTTTCCAACAACTCAAAATCAGCTTTTCCAGCCTGAAAAAAAAAAAAGAACAATTAAACAATTAACATCAATCTTCCAAAAAAAATCTAAAATGAAATAAATTATGTGTCACGTGATAAAAATTGGGTAATTACCTCGATTTGGGCACCAAGTTCTGAATCAAAGCTCTGATATCTCTTGCGCACAAGCTCTGTTAAAGATCCATCCTTCAAACACAAAAAACAAATAAATAAATAAATAAATAATCTTGTGTTAAATAACATAAATAATGATAAAAGAAAAAAAAAAAAAAAAAAAAAAAAACCTCAAGTAGCTTTGCAGCATTACGAAGACCACGTGCAAGCGTATCCATACCAGCAATATGAGCAATAAATAAGTCTTCAACATCTGTACTTTCCCTTCGTCTGTATATACATATTTTTTTTTACTTAATCAGTAAATGACCATTTTACCCTTTTGGTTGATGTATCAAGATAAAAAGAAGAGGGAACTCACAATTTGGCATCAAAATTGAATCCCCCAGGTGAAAGTCCACCCTGTACCAGTGACAATGAATTAATAATTGCTGTGTCCTGTTAAAAAAAATAAAAGGGTTCTTGTGTTTGGTATGAAAGGGTATTTTAGGTATTTGACATTACATTCTTGATGACACTGAGCATAACCAAAGTGGCTTCATTGACATCCATCAAAAACTGATCTGTATCCCATCCTACTTGAGGGTCACCAGTGTTGGCATCAATGTTTCCTAATAAACCATTGATTCTTGCAGTTTCAAGCTCATGGTGACAACTGTAATCAAAACATTTTTTTTTTTTTAAAAAAAACAGTTTATAAATAATCAAAAGTAAAGTCAGAATGTTACACACACACACACACACACACACACCTGTGACCAGATAGAGTAGCATGATTGCATTCGATATTCAATTTGAATTCTCCTGCATTGAGAGATATATTTTAGGGCTTAATCTTGATAATGAAGATGACAAGGGCATTTTCGCCTTTTTGCTTTGACAAGAGATCGGAAGACTAGTCTTTTCATAATACAATGTTTTGGTTACAATCTTTTTAAACTCTTGCATGTCATTAAAATCAATTTTAAGTTTTTAACATTTTCTTTCGTATAAAAATATGATTCTAGATTAAAAAATAATAATAGAAAAGATTACCTATAAGTCCATACTTCCTTAAGAAATTAGCAGCAGTGGCAGCATCCCAATCATACCTACCAAAATTAATATAACAATTAAAAAAAATAAATAAATAAACTTGTTAATTTCTTATTAAAAAAAAAAAGATAATATCACATACTGGTGCTTTGTGGGTTCTTGAGGCTTAGGCTCAATAAGAAGTGTTCCTGAAGCAAAAATCAACATACATATAAACACTTATAAATAATTTTTATTCTTTTTTTTTAATACCAAATCTCTTGTATTTATATAAGTAAAAATTACCAGTGAATCCAATCTTCTTTTTATAAGCTACTGCAGCTTCAAAAAACCGTGCCTACAAAAAAATATAATTTCCACATTATACCTATTTTTTTAACTACTATTAAAAAAATTATTTTTTATAAAAAAATTTTACCATATGATCAAGCTCTCTCTCCATATCAGTGTTGAGAAGAGTCTGATAACCCTCACGACCACCCCAAAAGACATAATTTTCACCCCCTAGATAATGTGTAACCTGTGTAAATAGTAAAACTTCATATCAAGGGCAAAATTGTCTTTTTCCTTTTTTTGTTCAATAAACTAAGTGGTAATTAGTAAGTAGTAAGTAGTAAGTATCAACCTCTATTGCTTTCTTGACTTGAGCTGCAGCATATGCATAGACTCCAATTTCAGGGCTGTGGTGATGTATTATTATTATTATTAAGTGTTAAATTTAGATATTATTATTATTATTATTAATTAAATATATTGAAAAAAAAAATGAATTGAACCTGGTGGCACCACCATGCATGTAGCGGGGATGCATGAACAACTGAGCTGTACCCCATAAAGGACGAATTTTTGTCCCCTGAGAGAATATCAGAAACATTTTTTTTTTATGGATTAATGTTTTGATAAAAGAAATTAAATTACTTGATTTGTTGAAACATGGTTGCATAATTCATGTCAGTTGAATAAATTGGTAAAAAGGTGAAATATTGTTCGTATAAATAAGCATTTTAGTCCTATAATATAATGTGGTTGCATATTTCATCTGAAAAAACCACTTTGTTGCATACATTGAGAAAAAATGTGAAATCTTTTCTGCAGAAATTTGCATTTTTGCCACTTTGTTGCATACCTGAAGTTCTTTTGCAAGAGCCACAATTTCATCAAGATTTGCATTAGTTTCCTACAAAGATAATAACAAGTCAATGAATTGTTCCATTTAAAAACTTGATCAATAATCAAAAAAGTCAAAACATAAGATTACAAATTACAATGTGTGATAAATATAATAATATAAATCCAGTTACCTCTAATGTTTCACCATCTGGAGCAATGTCTCTATCATGAAAACACCACCTATCAACTCCAAGCTTCTCTAGGAACTCAAAATTTGCCCTCACTACAACAAAAATGAAAGCAATGAGCATAATCTTGACTACAATTTTGACCAAATAAACAAGTCTACAAAACAGTTGATCTTACTTCTTCTCTTTGCCATGGCTAAAGAATTACTACCATCTTCCCATGGCCACATTTTAGTAGCTGCACCAAAAGGGTCACCACCTGTTCCACGAAAAGTGTGCCAAAAAGCAACACTAAATCGCATCCAATCCTTCATATTCTTTCCAAGAATCTCCTCATTCGGATTATACCATTTATATGCAAGTGGATTTTTGCTTTTGGGTCCCTACGAGTAACAATCACCATAAACCATGAACGATTTGTTTCAAATTCCAGATTTCAAAATCCAAAACGCGATTATCGTGATTACTGATTAGGTTTGCTAACCTCGTATTTAATTTTGGGAATCCCAGGAAAAAATTCCCCTTCCCATTCAGCTGAATCGTCGAAATCACAATCACCATCAAGATTTGCAGGACAAGTATGTGGATCTACGGAAATCTGTAAGCGAGAAAATTGACGTGTTTAGTACTAATTTAAAGTGGAATGAGTAAAACAGAGAAAAAGGTGTAAACCCTAACAAAAGGGTAAAATCAAACAGGTTAAGTTAAATATTCAAAGCATTACCACTGTATGTAAGATCACATTGAAACAGAGAAAAAACAGCAACAACATCCCAGCTTTCGTGTTTGTCATTTCATTCAGATTCAGATAACCTAAATTGAAATAGAAAAAGGATCAAAGGTTAGTAACAAAACAAAATAATCATCAAAACATAACGGATGATGAATGCAACAGTGTGGCTCAACCCCCAATTTCAAATCAAGTGAAGAGAAAACGTACGATCAGAAGAAGTATTAAAATTGTTTTTTTTTTTTTTCAAAATCTGATGATATACCAAAATCGGGACAAAATCTCAAAAACCCGAATTCAAAATTAAGCTGTACAACACTTTATTGACGAAGAAAAAACGTCTGCATGATTGAATCTTAAAAACCTAAAAGCTGAGTGACAGTCAAAGCAGTAACAACGAGTATCACGAAAAATACGCGCCACTTACAGATTATAGAGGAGAGATTAGTGTGAAGGAATTACAAAGTGAATGAGGTGGAATTGTGTTGTTAGATTTTAGAAGGCAATTTGGATAAGTAATATAGATTTGGAGCAGATGAAAGTTGTTGATATTCCAAATACGTGCATTGATATTTGATTGAAAGAGAGAGAGATAAGAATGCAAACTCACAGGTGATGTGTGACTCTTTATAAACTGCAACAAATAATATTATTAAGTCATAGATATACTCGAACATATAAATTATTTATTTATTTACTTAATAATCCAAGCTATTCAAAGAAACCTCGTCATCTTTTGATTATTATTTTTTTATGTATTAAATACTAGGTGTGAGACTCATGTATTACATGGATTTAATTAAAAATATATATATATAAAATTTTAACAATTTGAAAATTTTGAATTTATAAGAAAAAAAAATTGAATTATTAAAATTAATAAGATTTTAATGTATTCAATACATTACATATAAAAACTCTTTCTAATAAATACTTTACATATATATTACCTTACATATTAAATGTGGAATTTTAATTTAATAAAATGACAAGTGGAAAATATAAATTTTAAAAATTCTAGAAAATATCATGTGTCCAAATGAATAAGAAGAGGACATGTGGTAAAAAAACCTTCATTTATTATAGGAGATAAAATAATGATAAATGATATGTTGAAATTTGAAAATATACTGATTTTATAGAAGTTATTCGTTAGAATAATCGTGTTTGGATACCCAAGAATTAATGCATAACTTTTTTTTTTTGGAAATAGCACAAAATAACAAAATTTTTTGTTTAAAAAAAGCGTAACTTTGCAACATTGGTTTTTAGTGGTCACATGACCATTATTATATTGTGTTTTTCTAATGCAAAATTAAATTACTTCCTATGTATATAATTATTATTATTCAATTATGATAAATCATCATTTAATTTTATTTTATTTGATATATTTTTAATTAGGTTATAACCTGTACAAAAACACGGTCGATATGATTAAAATTTTTATATAGACAAAAAAATTAACAATTAAAACTTTTATCATGGAAAAAAATATCATAAATCATGAAGGTCTATTAGAGAAAACTAAAAGTTGTTTTATTAGACTTTTAAAGCATTACCGGTCTAAAAATTGAATCGTATTTTAGAAATTAAGATCCAATTATAAAAAAATAAAAAAAAATAGAAAATTTAAAAATGAAAAATTCCTTATAAATATTTCCCATTTTCGAATAGTTTTGTTATAAATACTTACCATTTTCAAATATTTATGTTACCAAAAAAAATAGATGTTTGAAAGATTTTTACCAATTACCAAAAAATATCTGAAGATTAAGAATTATTTAAAACTTGTCACGTGTCAATTAGTCTACCTAGAAGAGAACATGTGTCATTTAGAGATTTTGTTCATTAGAGGAGGTAGAATAGCCTTAATACGTTAGTTAAAAATATATATGGAATGATAATACTTGTTATAATTTTATTGTGTAGGAACATTTGTAGGCATAAAAAATAAAAATCAATTTAATTTCTCTTTCTAATTTCTAATTTATTTTGCAAATTTTCTGCAAAAGTTTTGATTTTCAAAAAAATCTGCGGAAAATAGAATGTTCCGATAGTTTGTATAAGAAAAATATTTCTTACTGATACAAACAAAGTTATTTTAGTCAAAATGGATAAGATATTTGGCAAATAAGATATTTAGTTTTCTTTTTAGAAGGATCGATGATGGTTTGATTAGCTTATTTTCAGGTTTGATATGTTTAAATTTTAAAAAGTGTTGAAAATCTTAAACAGAGTCAATATGTTTAATAAACGGATTGAAAAAACTCAACTTAACCCAACTTGATTATTAAATTTGTTGAAATCAAATTGATTTTTTTTTTTAAACCCGGTCTATTTAATAAACGAGTTGACCATTAAATTTCTTTAAAAAACAAAAAAACAAAACAAAACAAAAACTCTCAAATCTAGTAATCTTTCAAATAAAATTTACATAAAACTTAAAAACTTCAATACTTGTTCACGATTGAGTGAAAACGGACAATATGATGAAAGAGAGTGAGAAAGATGTCGATAACAGAATTTAGCGATTAAGGTTATGTGAAATAACGAGAGTAACATAGTGGAAAATTAAGAAAGTAAGGTTGTATGCCATTAAGGTTACTACTAATATCATGTATATTTTTATTTTCTTTCCAAAAATTTAAATTATCAAAATATTAATTACATAGCAAGACTAATTAAGTATAAATTAAAATTACTTAAAACTCTTAAACGGGATGATAGTTATATTCATGTTGAGAATTTCAACCATAGTTCAATCTATTTAGTTAAACGTGTTAAACGGATTAACCAATTTGATATAACATGATAAAAATATAAACTCATTTTGCGAATTTATTAGGTTGGATTTCTATATTTTGATCGAGATTGTTACTTATTAAGTTATATGTTTTTCAAAGCTTTTTTTGCAAAATTTTCTTTTATTGTCTTAAAGTAAAGTAATCTAAAAGTGGAACTCACGTTCTCATGAAAACAATACAAATTAACCAATTGTGTTCCTTTATTTTTGCTTATATATAAAAAATGCCTATTAAAAGTTAAAAACTAAATACATTTTCATGTATTTAGTGGTCATTTTATGTTTCTACTTGAAAACGTGGTCTTCTTATTATATGACTTCTATATATGATATTTTCGTGAATTACTCTTTTTTTTAATGTAATTCATATTGATATATGGTCGTTATAATCAAGAAAATGTCGTTTGTTTTGGATTAAGGAATGAAAAAGTATATTAGTCTTGAAATGATATTCCCCCCAAAAAAAACTCTTGTTTCTCATTCAACTCATTATCCATGTTTTTTTCGTTAGTTTTTTTTTTTTTTTTTTTTTTTTTTTTTTTAAATAAAAGATATTGCCAGGGTTTGTGTTATAATAATAATAATAATAATAATAATAATAATAATAATAATAATAAAACGTCAACATGATTTCCTATATAAATGGGATTTTGGGTTTATTTTAATGTCTTTTTATGTTACTTCTACACTTTTTATTAGAACTATAATTACCAAACATTTTTATGCAACTTTAATTACAATTTGTGGTAAAGAATAGTTTTGCCAAACATATACTAATTTAAAACCAATTAAAAAGTACTACCAATATCACCACATTGTACTAGTTGACCTCATAACAAAATTAGGCACACACAAATAAATAAATAACTATTCATGAATCAAACGATCTAGAATTTAAAAAAAATGTTTGCATAAATCGTAGCCCAACACCTAACGATCCTCTCATCAATAATGCTAGACATTTAGGTTGGTCACTTATGAAAGATTCATTGAGGGCTATTGATTGAAATCAAAAGCAAAAAGGGACCATGGACGAAGAAAGACCCAACAAGATGATAATGTTGGACCAAAGGTGTTGACCCTGACTGATGTAGTGATGTATATAGCATGTGAGATCAATGAGATCCATCCAGTCGTTAAACCAATAAATCTCCACCTAAAATTAGGAGGGGGGAAGGGATATGTACATATAATAGTGTTAGTGTAGATATGGACAAAAAGAAAAACATAATTGTCTCCAATTTTTACATACTCTTCATCCTAAGATAGTCTCGTATCGGTTACAAGTTAAAAAAGTTTGGGTTTTCAACCGGTCATAAAAAACGGTATTATATCTAAACTATCTACAAAAGCTGGTCTAAACAGATATATGATGCTACTTTAAGTTTTAGTTTTATAGACATCATCGTCCATACCTCCTTCCCTAGCGGTTGTGGGGTGCTCCTTTCACTTGATAGATTTTTTTTTTCACTTGTAAGTTTCTATTGTGGCTAAAAAAAAACTTTTTAAGAGCTTATTCATAATATACGAAATGTGTTTTATATTTTGTTCTTTTTTTTTTCTTCGTTACTTGATACTTGTTAGACAAAATTCGAATAGTTTCTATGTCTAACTAATTCACCTTAATTTTTGAAATAGTTCATGTATGAGATAAATACCATAATTTTAGTCCTTTTTTTAGATTTTTAATTTAGAATTGTTTATAACCAAAACATTACTTGCTTGACATGGATCTTTTAGCAAATATTATACATAACTTAGTGAATCCGAACCGAAAAAGTGAAACTAGACCGAAAAACTTGAATTCAAACTGAAAAAATGAACGCAACGATGCGATACTAAACTACTCTACCGAAAAATGACCGTCAAAAATCAATCTAAAACCATACTTATCTTGGAAAAGACCATTTAGGCAAAGATCACAAAATGACCAACCCATCCAAATTGATTCTTTGTACCTTTCATGTCAGACGTTATTTTTTAGGAGTTGTTTATCTAAAAGATTTTCAATGTTTGATCTTTGTTGAAATATTTTTACATTTCTGAATAGCAGAGTTTTCTATCCATATCGACATCAACATTAAGATCAATCCGACGCACCATTCAGGTATAACGTTCCTATCCGTCCTAATTTTTATTAATCTTGTCTTTTGTTGTAATTTTGGTATCAGAGCAAAATATGGTATCATTATTTTGTATTAGAAAAAATTTAGTATCAGAGCAAAATATGGTATCGTTATTTTGTATTAGAAAAAATTTGGTATCAGAGCAAAATATGGTATCGTTATTTTGTATTAGAAAAAATTTAGATTGACGTAAGACATGAAGAACGAAGAAATTATTGAAGATATTATTGAAGACGCGTGTCCTTTCGGTGGAAGGAATTTTAATTATTTGTTGTAATTATTTAAAAGCGTCGGTAGTAGTGTCGGTTGCGAATTATATTCGTAACAATGTAATGATGTGATGAAGTTAGTATGTGACATAAAGTATGTAAGACTTCTAATAGTTTAAGGGTTTAAAATGTAAATTATGTTTGTCTTCTTGAAATCATTTGATGTAATGGTATAATTGTAACTGACTTTTAAGGGCCTATAAATAAGGCTTTAAGGCAATAATTGTTTGTCTAAAATACTTGAGTT